ATTACGCTCTCTACAGAGAACGGGCTCGTAAAATAAATCTCCTGTCTGAAATGTTATTATTACTCACTCGAAGATAGATATTACAGAGTTAATACTTAGCGATCCTTGTGATATCTTTGATCCACGCGTATCGTAATTGCAAATAACCATAGCCGAAATTGAAAATATGTAATTAAATCCAGGGAATACTTGCGTTTCGTTATTAACGTTATATTTTTCGAGAAATTCAACGTCACGTTTAATTGACGTTTATTTTACCAATTAATAATCAACAATCTTATTTTCTTTATAAATTCGTGGTTATGAAATTTAATCAATTTCTTTCCGGTTGGTGCGCGAATAATATTTATAAAAGCCCAAGTTTTTATTTATGCGGGAAATGGAATGAAAATAATTTTTTAATATTGCAGCATGAAATATTTTCGTCCCACGATTCTATATTCTCAGAATTATACGAGATTTATCGTTACAAAAACTCGTTATTCAAAATTTTATTACCACCCCCGTGTATGGGTGAAAGCATTTAAAAAGCACCATTTTTATTTACAAAGGAAATTAAATTGCAATAGTTTTTTAATATTACATCACGAGATATCCTCTTCATCACGATTTTATATTTTAAGAATTATACGAGATTTACTGTAACAAAAATTCGTTATTAAAAATTTTCAGTGTACACTGCTTTCGCTGAAATTAAATATGAACATTTTTAATCATACATTTTCACGTGCACCGTAAAGAATAATCTAAAATGTGGAAAATGAATAATTTTGTATTGGTGCAATCGTTTGAAAGGCAATATTTTTATTTGCAAAGAACATGAAATTCCGGTTGATACTCTTTTAGCTGCAGTAACAAATTGAGTTTTAACCTTTGCACGGCTAAATTGTTTGAAAACTTGCAACTGAGAGGGAATTAGTGTCCATCAGCGCATAACTACTGTATATACTGCATGATGCATTCGAGCTTCTCCCACCCTTGTCTACGTTGGTGTTAGTAGGACGATGGTTAGGGGGGGTGGATACGACGATACAGGGCATCTGTTTTGTATGTGCAGCGTGAATTTGAACACGTGTTTCATTTAAATATTTCTACCTGAAACTCGAACGTCGCCGCCAATTTACACGAAATACTATCCACAACCAGTAGATGATAATCGTATGTAAAAATTTCATTCTGAGCAGTGGATTCGAGGTCCATAAAATTTTTCAAAAATTTTAAATATAGAAAATTTTGTATTTATTTAACTGTAGAACAGGAACGCAGGTCACGTTGAAAACATGGCCAACATTCAACTAATCAATAACGTTACATTTAAGTTCATGCGTTATTCATGAACTCAAATATGATAATAAATATACAAATAATAATATCTCGTGATTAACATACCAAAGCATCGTTGATTATAAATATTTGCTCTAATTTAAAGATTAAATTATTTTCTCCTTTTTTCTTTTCAATATATGTTTTAATATTCATAACAAAGATAGCGGAAAAATTGAATTCACGATGTAATTAAAATTCAGAAAAATAACCCGGTAATGGTTGGGTTCGCGATCTGTTTAATTAAAGCTTTAATTAAGAGCATTCGAAATACACGCGACCGAATAATGAGATCGTGAAAAATGATTTTTCCCTGTTACGAAAAGTAGTCGAACGTAGGTGAAATAATGTAATCGTAAAATAAGAAGATTATATTGTTTCTCCAAAGTATTATCAAATGATTTTTCATTCCCTCCTGAAGCAACGTTAATGGAAAATTCGTGTGTACGTCGCAATATTCCATTCTCCCCCTTGTTTTAATGCAATATCGTATTCGAAATGCGTTGCAACTTCATTATGCATCTCCGTTCTCAATTATGCAACTTTGTCACAGAAATTCACAGACGAGCCAGATGACAGTGTTGAATTTTCATTGTACATTAAAATCCACTGGCGCTTTACAGAAACGAGAACAAAAAAAAAAAAAAAATGTGGAATTGTTTTAACGTTAATTAAACTTTATTACGATGTACTAACCTGGTTGTTTATACAATTGAATATATACATCACCGGTTTGGTTGGAGTGGCTCTAAACAACACGGTGTCCTCGACTAAATCGAAAATGTGTTACGTTAAAGCGTAACAGAGGGATACAAATCAATCATGTTAACGTTTACCAAATTAATTACACAACCGTGTAATTCTGTTGCGTTTTGGACGGGCTTGAAAATTTCCATTCGATCTCTAGGATTTCGAGTTCGCGATCAAATACGAATTCGTGAAAAGTTAATTTAATCGCTCGATTTTCATAGGGTTATTTTTCTCAAAATAGAAAGTTTTTAGAGGAAAACTTTCTCGACTCTTTTCAACGCGTTACATGTCAAAAAGGCTCGCTATTTCAATACGTACTCTAGCTTCTGTTCGAGAAATAGGCCAAGCAAATAACTTTGCATAAAATCGATGAGCACAACGAAACAACCTAACTTTGCCGTAGAGCGTACATTTTTATTTTTTTTTTCTTTATTTTTCATGTACGCGTTCGTTGCAAATGGAATGTACAATGGGTGAAAAAGGAGCATAGCCGTACATCTAAATAACAGCGGTGTATAAAGCTTAGAAAATATCGAATATTGTGGAAAATAAATTTTCATCCGAATAATGCTCCGCGTGATCCTCTTGAAATATCGTTCCATATCTGAAATTACATCGACGATGCGTATACAGTTTGTTTATTCAAGTTCACCGCTCGAAGCGAACTTAATTTCCACGTCATTGTATGTTGCTCTAGAAAAGAAAGAGGAGCAAGCGACGTGAAACGAAATAAAATTGGAACAAGCTTTTCAGAAATAACATCGCGAAAAACAAGTGTTTGCTAACCGAGTCGTACGGTGTGCGAACGTAAAAACATACGGAAAGAAATGGAGTCGAAACGATAAAGGGATTAAAAGCTGCGAAATTCGACGTACAGGACGTTTCAAAACGCGCGGCAAGTGTTTTTGTTTTCACGATCACGCGTTTTGAATCAGCTTGTACACCTCTGTCGAGGAAAAATACAGGTACGAGGAGAGGTATGCGTATATTCGGTTCATTTTATCAGCTCACGTGTAACTACCTGTCCGAGCTGCGGTCAAAACGTACAAATTCCTTCCCCACCCTTGATCGCAGGCTACCTCTGTTAATTTATTGTCTCCGTCAATGACAACTGGCCCTAAATAATAACTGCCTCGACTTTCTGCTCCTCGTTGTCCCTTTCTTTCATGCATACTTAAGATTATAAACGTTCGAGCAAGAAGGTGATCGTACACAGAGAGGGTTAAGAAAGGGACAACGAAACAGCTGAGAGAGACGAGCCGATAGGATGAACCCGAGTGCATAAGGAAGATGGATAACGGAAAAGAGAAGGAGATGGAGAACGGTCGAGCAAGCATATCCGGTCGTTGCCACGTCTAGAGCTCGTTCACTTGTTTTGTCTCTCCCCACTTGCTGTATCCACGTGTTAGGATGCATTCACACGGAAAGGCTGCTTTTGCTCGTAAAACCTGCTTTCCAGTTTCTCAGTTTGTTGCGGAGGGTTAATTGATGTTAGACACAGGGTTAAGTCGTGATACCACCGAAGTATCGGTACTTGTACTCGTCTAATCGTGTCAAAAGTAACGACTCCGTTTCATCGAAATTTTTTCTATAATCATTACTTTCAAAGTTGTCGAAATGATTTTTTTAAAGAATAAGATTGTATCGCTTTTACTTGGTTTCACTTTGCGTTTCAAATTAACAGCATAAATCCTTGAAGAGTCAAGGAAAGATAGTAGGTCGAGGATAAATTGAAACTCATCCAAACTTTGCTCGTCTTCAATCTTTTTACTACTGTTGAAAGTTGAAAAAGTACTAAAATACATTTTTATGAATTTCAACAAAAATATTTACTTGTACGTGTTTGTTAATACAAATTTAATATCCACTGTCAGACATGAGATATTAACTTTGAAATATTAATAAATACGTACATCCAATTTGATTTTTGACACGATATTGAGATTGATACGTAACGCAAACATTTGCTTACATTTTTTGTTAATGAAAATTTAATATCCCCCCCGGGGGTCGGAAATATGACAATGTACTCTGACGATAATATTTCGTGAATTCATTTCTTCCATGGAACGCGTACCCTCCACTGGCTACGGACAATACTAAAACCGTTTCGTTAAACTAAGGTATTTAAGTGGAAACCCTGGGTCACAGGCAGGGGGGAAAATAGTGAAATTACTCCGGAGGTAATGTTACACGAGGCATTCTAAAAAATGGAAATTAAACCTTACAAGGGTATTACAATTACCAAGTTATTTTTATCTCTGACCCTTTCGTGTACTTAGCTCTTTACAAACTACCAGCGAAATTTTCATAATTAATAAGAATCACTGATTTTCCTTTTTTCCTTCTTTTTCCACGATGTTACTGGTGTCGATGACAAAAGGAAAATCAATTTCGATGTAGTTTCAGGTTAGGTAGGTAAATTCAAATTCAACAATCCGACATTCATGAACAGAAATTACATTCAGTTTCGTTTCACCGTGTAACAGCGTGGTTCATTAAAAAGCTATTGTGAAATAATGAATCGCTAAAGTACGGTTTCAACCTTTAATTACAATCCATAATACGTGCTGATGATCGTAAAATTGAAATAACAATGATGAAATGAATGGAGAACAAAAGATGTTTAATCGAATATTGAATTATGTTTAATTGAAATTAAAGAAAAAGAAGTGTACGATAATTCGTTAATTATTATATTAATATTAATCAAATTTTATTAACTTGATGTGTTAATAAAAACATGAAATTTAGCCAGAAACAATTTACAAAATTTTGTACCACGGTACACGTCACTTTTCTTTTTTCATGTTATTTTCATATTTTTCTTTTTGTGTATTTTTCTTTCCCGTTGTTCTTTTTCAACGCCCTCTTGCAAAAGCCTGTGTCCTCTAACCACTCTTCTTCCCATTTTATTTCTCCATTTTCCTTCTTCCAGTTCTCTTCTTCTTCACCTTTGCTTTTTCCCTACTTCTTCGTTCCTAGACAATATTTTACCAGCTTTCAGGTTGCTATAGTAACCACTCACGACTTGCAAGCTCTCGAAAGCCCGCGTGCTTCTCTTTTCATCTACAAACCTATATCCCTTCGCGATTTCTTTTGACCATTATGCAACGATTTGTCCCTGTTCCCTTCGCTACCCTCTCCCTCTTCTTCAGGCTTCTACTAGAAAATTTCTATAACAGAAGTACGAAATTGTTGAAATTTTTCTACATATTTTTCCCACCTGACAAATGAATATATCTGTCTTGTAGCGGAGAGAAAGAGGGAGAGGAAATGAACGATAGAGACCATAATGCATTACGTTCCACGTATTCTTATATGCTATATACCTTAATACGATGGGAATTGAAAAGATCCAATGGAATGTGTGTACAGGTTGTCTCAAAGAAAATGTACAGCTGGCCTTTGCCGTAGTCATCCCCTTCCCCGTAGATTTATTAATATCATCAAAATTAAGATTTTGAGAATTTCTGCTTCCTGTTAAGTCTGAAATTAATTTGCGAGAGAAGTAACCTGGTTTCGAATCTCATTGACTTCTTTTTTTGTAATGTACAAAATTGCAAATATACAAGGGCTTTGCATTTAGAAAATTGCTTTTCCACGAAGAACCGAGACAATTCCGTACGGTGAAATGAACTTTTATAGTAATTAATGCAAATTACTTTCGTTACGGTATAATTTATTTTATCTTTTACCTACTGAGAAATAATTGCAATTTTAGGCGATGCATTTTCCGTTCCTTCGCGATAAAGAAATATTTTTGATTGATATTTTCTAAATATTTTTAATTAAGATCGGGATATTTGAACTTTTAATTATCTGACCTCGACGAGAAAAATCCTTTTAATCGCGTAATTATGTACGCTTCATCGGATTAATAATTTCATTTTCAGACGTTCGTTTTCGTTGCAGCGCGAACAAAAACGCGCTGAGAAAGGGGATTAATTATCTTAATTAAAATTGCGACAGGCGACATTTAATGTTCGTTACTGTGAATGTTATTCTAATAAACTGCACCAAGTAATGAGAAACTTTGAAATTAATAATAACACGTACCAGTTTATTCATTAATTCTTTTTTCTTTCAAAGTACAAGTTTGCACAAAATTTTTATGTTGGCTTTTTAACAAACTGAAGTTTATTATTTTACATCGTGCTTTTAAAATATAAATCTCTGGTATATCAATGAAATAATCATAATGATCATCACGCTGAAAATTTTATATCGACCGAAACACGTGCTCTGTTGCACTTTGTCGGTGCTGCCAGCTTAATATAACTCTTTGCGATAAATATAGCGTTGAATACCACCTCCGTGTGGTCGTTTCACATCCTACCACCAACAAATTTTATTTATAAATTTTCATCAACCCAATAGAGAAGTTGGAAAATAGAAGAGATTCTGAAAAGGTAGGAAGGTAGAGAATGGTGTTTGTTTAAAAGCGTAGGAGCAATTTCATCGAACGATATTTATTATTCGGCCAGTTTTGTTGGATGATTGAAAAACAGAAGGGATGTTAATAACGTGCAATTGAAATCGAGCAGACGAGGAGGAAGAGAGAAGTACAGCTTTTCCATGGATCGATCGAAGCGTTGAGTGGTGGTTAAAATACGTTTGTTCATCGGGGCTATTCTACTACTGTCTCTCTTTATTCAGCCACCGGGTGCATTTCGCTATCTTACAGAATGGCCAATAGATGCATTCGACTCGACCGCAATGCTCTCTAGTCCTGTTCGACGTTACTTTATACAACTTGAATCGAATTAAATCGGAGCGCCGAGGGATCCTAACGAGGCGAACGTTTCCTTTAATTCACTCAAAATCAAATTCTCTATTGTCCTGTCGATAGAAAAGTCCTGTTTCGTTGTTGCATCAAAGTGGCACAAGGTACCCTTCATTTTTAATTCGATTACTCTATCACGTTTATTAATAATTGTAATTTTCTATTCAAATCGAATTTAATATTCGATACATTGTTTCATTTTAATGACATGCTATCGGTTTTAATTAGAATACATAATAAATTGATAAGCTAATAATAGATGTGGTAGGGATGCTGTTGATTCTGTACAGAGACCGAATTAGACCTCGAACAATTTCAAGTACATTATGCAAATTGTAACCCACGTCCCCGATCATTTATAACTGCAATTTATGAAATTGAATTTCCAGCGCAACAATGTTGTACTCAATTTGATATATTTCAGCTGTAGTAGTTCTTTAAATTAAATTGAATGGCTCGTTCGCGATTGGTAACCTTGTTTCAAAACTCATTTCACGGGATGTATAATGAGTTAAGCACGATTATTGAATAGGTAGCTTTTAATTACTTTTCAATCGAGTGAATAAATTTTTTACCAATGTAATTTTGTTAAATTATAAAATTGTTAAGATTCGGGACTTTTAATGGGACGCGTTGTTTTTGGGACAGCCTGTATTCGTAAAAGGACGCTCGTAAAAAGTTTTTTCCTTTCCAAAATGAAGCGACACTTAAACGTGAAAAGGCTCTTTTGAAGCAGCCTGAAGTTTGTTCGTATTTACGAGATTTCAGGCTGGACGTCATGCGGAATGAAAGATTGAGAGCACGAACAAAGTAAAGGGGTAATGTAAGAAGAGGAAAGGGAAAACGGTCTTGAAGAACGAAGAAGAGGGAAAGAAAACACGTTGAAGAGGGGAATGAGGAAGCGCGTTGAAACTTTTCTGGTCAACTGATCGTTGATTTAATCGAATTAATAGTGGAACAGAGAGTAAACTTACAAGGAGAACTCGATTAACGTCCTGATAGTATTTAAATGAACTCGATATTTTTCAATCTTTTTTACACATACCATAAAGAAGACCATGAATTATTATTTATATTTTACGAGCGTCTCAATTGATTCAACGCTCTTTCGTTTATCGTTTCGATTCTTTTTTTTCTCTTTTATTAAGCAACATAAAATAATACATAAGAACGTTTCAGTAATTCAGGTATTACTTGCGTTATTCCCTGGCGAGAAAATAAAATTCTGTATTTTATCGGGAAAGTAAATTAAACTCGAACTCTGCTGCGAATACTTTTTCCACTTTCCCAAGTTTTCAACTTCTCTAAAAATCCCAGGGAACATTGAGAACGCGATATAAATTTCAATCGAATACTTTTCGTGTTACGCCTCCCGACCCTCTGAACTTTTGCTTCGAACTGTACATTTATAACTTAACTCTTGCCGCTCCTACATTTCATAGTGTTCAAATAACGCGAGAAAAGTTTTTGTATTTCGATAACAATGTAGAAATACGTATAGGTCGGTCCATTAACAGGGGTCATAGAAAATCTTGATGATTTTAAATCCCAAGTACATTGAATAAATGCAAATTTGTAATTTCGAAAGTAACAAGAAGGAAAAAAATAGAGTTCAGTGTGTTTCTGGAAAAACACGTTGTTCTTCTGTTCCGTTGTACCACGAGGCACGCGCCAAAAGCATTGTTTCTTTTTTCTTTTTTTTTTGTACCGGCCGGGAAACAAGAGTGGCTTTTCTTCCACGTGTAAACGGGACTTTATGCGTCGGTTATTCATACCGTCTCGTGTGTGTACGTATATACGAGTCAGTGTCGTCGTACATTTACGCCTCTCATTCATACAGGGATAGAAGAGATATAAATACGCAGGCGCGTTCGCGAACACGTGCACGCAAACATTCAACGGGACACGTAACGACCGTGTAAAATCTCTCCTCTTCTTTCTCACAGTACCCCACCATTGCCACCCATAATACCCCTTCTTCTTTTCATCCATTGCCATCTCTCCTCGTCATCGTTGCCTTTTTATTTATTTATGGAATACATTCCGAGATTCAATTTTGTCCTCGTCTATACTCCTACTCCCTCGACCCCCGTGTTTGTTCATTTCGTTTTATATTTTTCATGTTCATGCTGTTTCCTGCATTTTCTTGCTCCCTTTTTGCGGTACCTACCTATGTATACGCTCTCTTATTTGTCCCGAGTAAGACACGTCGCTTTGTCGATGCTCTTGTTTGCCGAGTGTGTACCATCGTTTGGTAAACAGTTTTAAGGAATGCCAGGCAAGCGTGTCTATAGGGAGTTTCAAAAGGGAGGCATCGAAGGGAGGAGCGAGAGAAATCCTGAAAAATTCGAGGGTTCGAAAATTAAAAAATAAATTTCATCAAACAGAAATTGTAGATCAGATACGATTAATAATGAGGTATAACAGTATTTTCGTTTGGTGCTTGGAAGCTTGAAGGCTTGAATTTTGGTGGCCGCATACGTAAGCGGATGCAGCGCGATTAAACTTTAAAATGCAATTATCTCAAAATAACTGTGCACGGCAGTTAGCAAGTCTGCGCTCAGTAGGGCAACGTAGCCCTTATAATTGCTCTGAATTAATACATCAAACAGCTGTATTATCTACTAGCAAGTGCTCTATATTATACAATACAGCTAGTTGTAATTTCGTATTCCGTTTGAGAGTCTAACAAAATTCTCGTCTATTGTACTGAAAGTAATTTTAACTCAGAATCAAGTATCAGTAATGTTTCAAGATACCATTAAGTATCTCGAAACTTTCAAAATTTCTCATTAAAATTTTCGAAATATTAATTGAATTAATTGAAAACTTTTGCGACAGAGGGTATCGAATAACCATCGCTAGTCCCGTGATGGTGTACCGTCTATTTCGAGAATTTCGTGTTCTGACAGAGCCGTTGAAGAGGTGGAATGAGCAATAACGAAATGGAAGTCGCTCATCTCGATTTTCGCGACCCGACATTCGCCGAGTATAACCATTCCCGATACGTGGCCATTTTCCCTTGTTCCTTCGTAAAAATTGTCCCGAACCTCATCGACTCAAAGTAGCATCATTTTTAGAAATATAAAAAATTCTCAGTTTCTAAATTTAATCCTTTAAGCATATAATTTTTCAAATTTTTTTTTTTATATTCCAAGGTTTAAAAAATTTCATATCTCCGAAATTGAACCAGTTGGACGACTTTCTCTGTCGAATAGTTTCGTCGCGAATTTTTCGCGTTTCTGTAAAATTCCCGGAAGTATTCGAGCTTCCTGTTCCGATACGCTTCGATTTCGAACTTTATTAATTAACTAGACTTCAGCTTTTCTTTCCGGCTCGCTCGAACGAAACAGAATGAATTTGTAACTGCATTAAACGAAAAAATTACTGTTTTCTATTGGGGGTTTGCTTTCACCGTTTCTCAAGTTAGTAAATAACAAAAACGGGATTGAATGCAATTTCACAATCCAGATCGCAACAACTTCGACAAAGAGTTGTTTGTTATGCCTGAAAGCTGTTCGAATCGTATCGAGTGGTTGCAAATTTTTAATGGCCTATCCGGCGTTCTTTTAATAATAACTTTGAACGTTCTACGATTATTAAATAAGCACGAATAATAAGAAGAAGGAGAATAAGATGGAAAAATTTGATTTCACCTTGCTAAGGATTTCGAT